TTTCACCAGAAGAGTTGATGTTTTCATACTATTTGTTCTCATAATATTATAATTCATGCATGCTGATTTTGGTTGTTTGCCTGCAACTTTAATTAATTCAAGTTCCATTGCCTTCCTTTCAAAATGTACATAAACTTTGATTTTGCCAATTTGCATATTCTCGTCTTCTAGAAATTGGTCACGTGCTGCCAAAGCTATCATTTCACGTGCAGTATTTGAATAAGGTAAATGGATAAGCCTTTCTACATCTTCAGAAACGTTTTAATCTTCCTCTTTACTTCTTTCTGATGTCACACTGTTTGATAAGATACCCATTAATGTCTGATGATCTTTATGATTCTCAGTTGGAAGTTGCTTAATGTTGTTAAAGATGATCCTTTTAAATGAGAGGCAAATCGAGTAGTTTGTTTGTTCATGATTTTACCCATTTGCTATTGAAATATAAATAATAATAATAATAAGATATATACGTTTTCTATCTTTTCTTCTGTCAAACTGATTTGGGTTCTAGAGTGTAATTTCTTATTCTTGTAATTCTTCCCTTAACTTAGTGTTTCTTTCTTTTTGGTCTTTTAATTTTCTGTCACTTTCTTCTTGTTTCCACTATTTCATAATTTCCATTAAATTATCAAAATAACCACACTTATGACAACGCTGTTGTAACAGTTTCTATTGTTCGGTGGAATTATTCAGTAAAAAACGATACAGTCTAGTTATATAATGAAATCATTTTATTCTTTGACTATAGATTCTACAGTTACAGAATTTCGTGAAATAACTCCACCAATAAAGTTAAAAAGTCACTTACTTGCTAATTTCATCGTAAGTACGGTACTTTTCGTGTGTCTATATCTCTTTGTTGAAACTCAATATTCACTGTGTTGAAGTAACAGATAAATTGACTAACAAACTCGCCAGCTCACTAATTAACCATCTATTGTAAAATACTTATTAATCAATCAACAATCTCTTCTAATCTCGCTTAACATGCCTTTTATATTGTTTCCTAAACTGTCAAGAATATTCCATTACTTGAGCTACTTTCTCATCACGTGATTTCGAAACTCCATCTAGTCCACTTTATTACAAACAAAAGAGACATAGCAAATGTTGTATACAGGACACCAGGTGTTTCCTACCCGCTATTGAGCAAGTATTCTTAATATAGAATGTCGGTCAAGGGAGCCATTAAGTTCCTCTCGTCCTAGTTACTTACGAAATCGGGTCATGCGAACCTATTCTTTTCCACTGGTAAGTGAGGTGATGCCCCAAAAATACAACATTTGTTTTGTAGTGAGAGTGACCATCAGAGACATGGTAGCGCCAGCATCCTGAGACGAATGTTTTGTTGTTTTTAGTATATAGTGTCATATTTTTTAATCGGGAACATTTTAAACATCCTTGACTTGCCTCTATCTCTCTACTAGTGGTGCCACAAAATACACTTGCCTTCATGCTTTGATTATGTATGTTAACGAATAAAGAGTGATTCAATGTGCTTAACTTTTGTCCAGTCTCTTTCATTGTTTCAAACTTAGTCGGGGTCAAGATAATTTAGGTTATGCTCCGTAAAACCTTTTCTGGGGTTTGGTTTGAATTTCGCGCAAATCTACACGAGGGCTATCTGCGCAAGTCGTTCCTAATTTAGCAGTTTAAGACTAGAGGGAAGGCAGCTAGTCATCACCACCCACCGCCAACTCTTGGGCTATTCTTTTACCAATGAATAGTGGGATTTACCGTCACATTATAACGCCCTCACGGCTGAAAGGGCGAGCATGTTTGGTGTGACGGGAATTCGAACCCGCCACCCTCAAATTGCGAGTCGAGAGCCCTTTTCTGGGGAGCCTCTTACTCGATTAATCAAATAGAAATTGGTAAATCTGATAATACCACACCTACAACCAAATGCTTGAAGTTTACCAACAAAAGATATTTACAATTGATGAACAGGTAAATCCATTCAGTGCGATCACTAACTAGAGTGGAAGAAGAAACAATTTAGACGATTATTATGTTTTCACGGGAGGACAAACATACAGTAACTACGTTCTTCTTTCTGTTTATTTTATTGTTTAAAATTTTCAATTTTAGGCCCGTGCTATAAATGTTTCAAAAACAAAAGACGGGAGCCAATCATTATACGCATATCTACAGTGGGTGAGTGACCTATTAACTTTGCCCAAGGGAATGGACTAACCGTCACAAACATATCTTTAATGAACAGCAATAATATACGAGACCCTAAAAAGGTAACCTAAATATACCTCGTCTACAACCTTAAAGACGACTGACATTTTCAAGGTTATGGACGGAATGTGCTTTCTGTTCGGGATATGTTTGTCAAACGTTTTAAGATTGGTTTATCACCATTGGAACGATTTTTTGTTTTTTATTCTTAGTTACCTCTAAAAATTAAAACACACGTTTTTCTATTAAAGGGTAGATGTTGTATTATATTAATAGCCTTGTCTTTGATTCTTAAAACAAGTTTTTACTTTTAAAAACACTTCATAGCCGTGGATTGTATATCTACTTTTGAATGACTGCAAATAAAAATGTTGGGTCCAAGCGTGGCCAAATGAGTAACGTGTCCGACTAGAGATCGTGGTAACAAATAAAATAACCTTCACATTTAACAGTAGTCTTCATACTGGTCCGCACTTTAAAATTAGGGACAACTGTTTTTGAACCACAAAGTTTTCTGGTTTAGCTCATTGTGTACATAAAGTGTCGTTCAGGTGAATTAACAAACATATTCTAAAACGTTTCTGGCAAAGCCACCATTGTTTGTAGGCTACACGATCACCTAAGTCTAATGGCTCATAGTTACTATTATTAGTTTATATTTTACGTTTCAGTTTCTAATTGTCTTCCGTCTAAAGGGAGCAGGAAAAAGGACTATGTGGAGTAGGTATTCAAAACGGGGTCTTATTGAAACGTCTGGTATAACTCTGCACTCCTCCATGGTTAATTGTTTTATGCAACGTCATGACTATCTCATCTTTAACAATGTTCTTTACATGACAACTTTAGCCTTCATATTTTTACGTGGTGTTATTTATATAAGTTTCTGTTTCGTTTCTTTTATATTTAACTAACGATAACTTATAAAACGTCGAATAGTAAAACCATCGCAAGAAGTAATAATGCGCTTAAAACTCTTATGTAATAAACCGCTGCTTTCATAACTTAACTAACTTTAAGGTCAAGAACGAAACAAAAACTGTTAATACAATCACTAAAACACCTCAATATTTGCTTCTTTTTTAAAATTCATTGTGCCAGTGTTGTAGCAACTATCTACAGGGAGGATGGGGCAGTACAGGTTGTTGTTGTTCTAAATACTAAAACATGCTAGGCTGGCTCGCATGGCAAGTGTTAAAAAATGAAATATGTGAATATTTTGCGTAATTTAACTTATTTTTACGGCGTATTTGTGTTGTTATAACTAGTTTTAAAAGTTCCTATCATACATGGAATAAAGCTAACAGATAAATTCATCGTATGATATCTATCATCTTAAAATAACCAAAATTCAGTTTTTAAATTTGACTGTGATTAGAGAATTACAAGCGAATTTAATTTGGCCGACTAGTTAAAACTTTTCGATAAAGAAATCAAACCCAATTGAAAGAAATTCGAACATTTTTTTTCAGTAATACGTAATTTACGCGCTGGTTTTGCTCTAAGTCAATACACTCTTCGCAACCAATAATTACTGTCCATAGTTATGTAGGATAATTTATTTCTCTTTTTATTTCCACTAAACTTGTTCAGTGAGATTCTTCGTATGTCATCGCACCTCGTAAGTGAAAGGCTAGGTTTAGTAACTAACTGCACTAAAAAAACTCGTCACGCAGCGCAGACTCGTACTGCACTTGAACTGCAGAGCTGGTAGACTGCATGGAATGTATCGTTCAAGGTGACACCCCCATTCAGTCTAGCACCCACTTACTGCCCTACTAACGTAACTGAGAAAACCTGTTGATGTTACCATGGAAAGCACAATTTGAATCTAATACCTGACAGGTTTAAATGGATCAAATCTTCTTACGAAGAGAAATTTGATTTACAAGTTTTCTTTTTGGGTTGAGTGACTACTTTACACATTATATCCAATACTTTTTTTTTTTGTCATCTTGATTTTATAATGAAAAATGGTTATTATAAATTGTTTATGCAATCGTTCATAAGTAATCACCCGCTATCTTATTTCCAACACTGGCCCTAATATGTTTACAGTCTGCATTTTTTAACATTTCAGTGGTTTTATTATTTATATATAAACTAACTAGTGCACAATAAAATTATCTTAAACGAGCATACTTGTTTCCATCGGCCAGATAACTTGACAGCGGACCCGAGGAACAACTTCAAACTAAGCCTGTAAAAATTATCAAAGAAGTGAAATGCAAAACCAACTAACACATCAGTAGAAGTTTTACTATTGTGTTCTGCAAATAATTATTTAATCCCTGAACTTTAATGAATAGTTTATAAAACTTGTGTATATCTACTAAATTTCAGAAGAAAATCATCCCATTTTGACTTACAAAAGCAAACGTTTAGGAAGCTTGCTTGAAGTTAAGCACAAAGCTACACAATGGGCTATCTGTGCTCTGCCCACCACGAGTATCGAAACCCGGTTTCTAGCGTTTTAAGTCCGCAGACATACCGCTGTGCCACTGGGGGGCATTTAGGAAGCCTCACACCTTTGAGAATTATTTACAAAAGCAACAACATAGAAGTAAATACCAGAAACTTCCAAACTAAGCTCATGAAAAAAAAAAAAGTAAAATGAGCCAACGAAACTCATACATTCCAAAACACCATTTTCCACCCATGAAAATATCAAATGAATAAACTTGCAACTCAAAGTTCTTTTTTATAAATTATAATGGAAGTGTACACAAAATACTGCAGATATTACCAAACTTTATTTTTTTATATATTTGTTCATGGTTTCAGATATTACATATAAAAAATACAGGTTACACAAATACACACCAAGAGGTATTTATTTGAACTTCAAAATACACTTTTTGTTTCAGTACATTCAAAACTTTAATAATAAAATATAATTATCTTAGCATGGAACTTTGCAGTCGATTGTGAGACACTGAAACAACCACAAAACACAACCTTCGTCACAAAACAAGGACAGCTGGTGCGTTACTCTACCTTTTTCTGAATTAGCCAAAATACCAAAAGCTTAAAACTTGGATACAAAGGTGAGGAAAATATTACTAATATATTAATCACATGTGGGTGTAACCAAGTGCTCCCTGATCAGGCAACACTAATCTCATCCAGTACACACATGTGTGTAACCAAGTGCTCCCTGATCAGGCAACAATAACCTCATCCAGTACAGTACCAACACAGGAGAAATACAATCTTCTTATATATATATATATATATATTTACTGTGAGCATCATATTAAACAATATCATATGTGCTTCAAAAACTGTATTATCCGATTTTTTAAAATTAATTCTAATCTAACTACAAGCATTATTTACAGTTCTTGAAAACAAACATGAAGTTTACACTTCAACATGTTCAAATGTTATTATACAATACCACCATTTCTACAAAATATTACCCTCTTGTTGGCTGCTCGATCATGTCCAGATGCTTTTAAATAAATAGTCTGAACACGTTGCATATTGAAATAGCCAGTAACTTGCCGACCAGTTCTTGGCTTATACAAAAGTTATTGCGCCTCAACAATACAGAAAACAAAAATTAAAGTGATAAACTTTTAACAAAATACTGAATTATAATGTTATAACAAAGGATAGAAAAAATGTTTACCTAGTTCTCTTTTAGATGCCACATAAAAACAAATGGAAGACTACATTAAAAACACAACTTTTCATTTTTATCAGACAAATAAGGCATATTTTAGTATTAAATAATATAAAACAGAATGTTTGTGGGTTAAATATTTGCTTAGTTATGCGTTTTCACAATTTCATATCTTACTCTGCTAGCACACAGAACTGTCACTTAGTAAATATATTAAAATAGAAATACTAAAATTTAAAAAATAGGAAACTTACCCTAAACTTGTGCAAGATAAACGGTCTTGCCTAATACATATAAAGCACATCTACCACACAGACGGTAACATGTTTTTTGAGTACATCACACATTTAAACAAACTATTATAAAATTTTGAATAAAATAAATCACCTTTTTTTTCTTTAAGATATATATTTAATTGAAAAACCAAACTTTTTACAATTTAAAACCTACACATTCTTAACTATTTCAGAGCATTAGTACCTAGTAAGTATTTAGCCTCTTAAATAAAAATCTTACATCAAGAATAAAATCTTTGTTACATATTTAATACTTTTACTTTCATGAGATTATGAGAACATGCAATGATTCTCTCACACTGCTGTCTAGAGTACATTATACTTTAGTATTTTCAAGGGTTAATGGAGAAAAGTTATGTGCGGTAATTCAAGTTATTAAACTACAAAATGTTTTAATGTAGGAAATTATGATACCTATTACAAACTTGGCCTGAGCAAGGGAGTTTGCTTACTCAAGACCATATTCACACGAAAAAATCTCAAACTTTATGAGTAAATACGTATTGCCTGAGACACTTTTTGGTGACATATTGGACACTCTGCCTCAGTCTTCTCACATATCCGACTGGCACATTCCAAACAAAACAAGTTATGACCACAGGGAACCAAAGCAGCCACCACATCACTTTCAAAGCAGACAATACATTCTCTCCTACAGCTTTTTCCAACAGATCCTATAGAATCAGTGGGGCTGCTTGCCAGACTGCCACTACTGTTGATAAATGGTCCATTGATAGATGCTGTGGTTGTGACATTTGACAGTGTTGAGAATGATGGCAAGGAGAGGGGGTCACTTTGAATCCTCTGAGCTGGAGAATGATCCATGAGGAGAGAGTCTGTAATAGCTTGTGTCAGAGCTGCACCTGCACTGCCAAGACTTCCGTTTTGGCGAGGCAAGCTAGAACTTGGATAAAGTCCTAAATCTGGCCAAGTTGGTGGTGACGAAATGATCATGGGATCAAATGTTGGAGAATCTCCTATACCCTCATCTGCCTCATATAAACCAAAACCATTGGGAAAAGTGCCCGTAAAAGGACAAAAGTCAGTGAGCTTTGCTGATCCATTGGAAGAAAAGGAGAAAATACTCTCCTGAGAATTCTGTGAAAGCAAGGTTTTGCCATCCCGTGAATGTGAAACAAACCCATTGAGATCTGACTTAAACAGAGATGTAACAAAACCATTAGTTAGGTTACCTGTATAAGACTGGTCTACTCCATTATATTCTAGGTAATTGTCATCATTGGAGTCCAATATACCACCAGTACGCACAGCTATGTGTGCTTCAATTTCTTTTTGAGCACTTTCTACATTTTCGGGTAATCCAGTGACCTCAAAAACAGGCTCCTTGTCACGACTGGGAGTTACAATGTAAGTATTGGTCTGCTGTTGTATGCGTTTAATGGTAGCACCCTTAGGACCAACTACTAACCCAACGACTCTGTAGGGCACTCTAACTTGTATTGTTGTCTGTCCCGGAATGTTGGAGTTTGGCCCCGGAGCCAATGCTCCATTCTGATTGTTCTTTCGTTGGGCTCGAATCTGACTAAAATGCTCAGCTGCTGATAGTATTTCTCTCTTTGCAGCACACACATCTTCCTTCCTCCCTGTCACTACAAAAACTGGTTCTTCGCCACGAACAGGAGTTTTGATGTATGTATTAGTCTTTGCCCGAAGTGCCTTTATCTTGCATCCTAGTTTTAACAAATTATACATCGAAGTTAGAAAAACAGAGTCAGATGTTTATAAAACATTTATATCAAAAGTAAAATAATGGAGAAATCAAAAGCATACAAGATATGGAGGGAGGTTACTTAAATTTTTCTGTAGACTGAAAACTTTCACAAAATTACCTACCACATCTTTAATTATCCTTTTATTTGCTACTATCAAATTCTCATGCTCTACAGATTTTTAGTATTTTAAATAAACTGTTTCAACAGGTGAGTTCTTAGATAATTATACTTGCTAATTGAAAAACTATTTCACCCACTTTAAGAAAACTCCTAGTACTGTCAAAATTAAAATGCAAGGTAACTTTACCATAAGGGATTTAAACATGGCTTCAGTTACTTTTAGCAGTAGTATAGCATTCAAATTCCAGTAATTTCAACTTGTATTTTTCTTATACATTTCTGAGTGTCCCCTTCTTATATAACTATGTAACTCTTCATATATTTTAAATCCATTGGAGAAATGGGACCTATTATGTATCAACTACATTTATATCTGGTAGTTGTGGGGCAAGAGAAAAAATACAAACTTATACAATATTAGTTTATGTACTTATTTTGTTTAGTCAACGGTATCTATACTAATGTGACTTAAATTAATATTCCTGTTTATTGCATGTAATTTGCTTAAAATGTGATTGCATATAACCACTAACAGCAATAAAATATCAATTGAAATATAGCTAGTCTTAAGGTTTTTTATGACATTTATGTGTCTAACCTATTCCCTTTTTTTGTACACTGTCTTTTTCAATTTGCCCTACTACGTCTTCTAATTCAGTGTTGTGACTTTGTAAACTAGTATTTTCTCGGACGTGTCACTGGATACGAACGTGTTTAGTTATGATGTTGTCACACAAAAAACCGCTGCTATGTTTGATAACACTTTAGTTGAAATTTGAAGAATGTTTGCTGTGCATTCGGTAAAGACCAAACTATTCCAAAATATTAAAGTTTCTGACATCCAAAAAATTTTAATGAAATTTCAGATGCGTTTAGTGATTATGTGAAACCATGAGTCGGCTTCTGCCAGTTTTCAAGGTATCTATCCACAAGAGATCTAATTTTTTTTTGAATGTGTGGAATAATAAATACATCAAAGTTGATTACAAATGATGGTATAACAGAAATGAAATTATAGCACGTGTAATCAAACTTTTAGCTGAAAGAAAAACAAGTTAAACCAATAATATTTATCGCGAATTAAATTACTAAACGTGTACGGTTAGAACGGGACAACTTTAAAGTTAGTAAAAATGTGTGGTACAAATGCACTAAGCACGTGGCGTTACATTAAAGCAAAATTTCCCGCAAACAAAGAAATGGCGCGATTCGCGCAGTGCCTTCCGAGTCAATATTGGTAGAAGCTGTGAACAAAGGCCTCAACGTCAAATCCCAGTGTACAACATTATTGGTTCCATTTAACGAAAACAACAAATACGCGTTAATTCTGGCGAAGTAATTTACTCACCCTGTCTACCTACAATTTCTGCTACGTGTTCTGAACTAGGAACAGGAACACATTCTGTAGTATTTTGACTTTTTTTGCTTCTGGTATGATCAGAATCGTTAGGATGAATCGTATTATTTTCGTTGTTCAATCCAAGCATCGACAACTCTAAGGCTAACTGCAGTGCTCTTTGATCTTCAAGACCACCACCATTGCGCTCCATTTCAGGAAATAGACTAGCAGGCATCACAGATGATGATACTGTGAGTGTTACACAATGGTGAAATATAAAAAATAAGTCTCTGAAAATTAGAATCGCTCCTTTCTCGACGAAGCCGTGCCGCTTTCAGCACAGCATTCACTGTTGTTCTACTCTCAAATTTCTCTCCACTCGGTTGCTGCCCCTCCTGGCGTCATGACGTTGCTCTCGCGGTAAGTGCTGAAGGCCTAAAACGTAGTAGTGGTGAGAGATTTAATATCTGATTGGCGTATTTGAGCTAACTAGGCGGGATTTCGTTCCCAACTGTCTCTTTCCCGCCTAAAAGTGAGCGTTCCAACGAACGAAGCTATTGGAACGGTCTATATCGTATACCTGGAGGGCTATGTGTAGCCTCATTCCTCAAGTTTGAGACGTAACTAACTATAATAAGATGATAACAGCAGTGAAGTTAAACCTATAGTTTCGACAAAGGCTAACATTTTGAGGTTATCTACCAAATAGACAGTCCATTATTCAGTAATGACCCATATTGATTACATTCCATTAGTTTCTGAAATCATTTCTATATTTTTTTCTTCTTTTTATCTAACTAAATGGTATTTACGCGGCACAGTGTGACTGACGATTAACATTACCAAGACTTATTTTCTAAGAGATGTGTTTATTTTCCTGAGTATTATTTACCCAATTTTATTTACTTGAAATGAAACACTTATTGATGAATACAATTTATGGGGGTTAACACCTCAACTATATCTTTCACATGTGTGGAGAAAAATTTAAACAAGGGTTTTGCTTTAGTTCACTTAGCCACATAGATTGTTAGACGATGTAGAACTTTGACAATTTTCACAGCTTTACGGAATGTTCCTTGGCCAAGACGTATATTAATGTGTAGTTCTAAATTACGTAATGCGTACTTAAACTGGTATTTTCTTTCTTCCTAATGAAAAATTAACTAAGTTCAAATTTTGGTTAACTTGAAGGAGCATAACATTTTCACGGAGTTTCTGAGATGTAACAACTTTAGTGTGGGTGGAGCCTCCGATTAAAGCTCTGCTCCGTAGGTTTTTCCCAACCAATCACAGCACGGATTGTATTACTGTATAAAACACGTCTCAAAATCAAAATCGGTCAATTGTGGCGTTTGACAAAAAAATTTAGTTTGCGCTCTGCACTTAGCTGGATAGGTTAGTAATTAATATGGAGTTTAAGCAATATTAACAATATTACTACCTCTTCCTTAGTTGTGTGGGCTAGGAATTTTTTAACAGTCTCCGTATTTTTAGTAAGAATCCCACTGACGCGAGGGTTATGAAACGACATTATTTTTAATAATCACTTTAGTTTGCGTCATAAAGAAGGTGTTTCCGTGTGAAAATGTATCTGGTTGATTATTTTGTTATGTCTTATCAGTGGTTGACAGACATTTGATTTATGAAACATTTTGTATTTTTCAGATACAGTGAAAAGAAGAAGAAAAAAGGAACAATTTAACGTTTAACGTATTTTCTGCATAAAGTTAGAGCTTTATATTGTTTCATTGAGAAAACTTTCTTAGGCAGTTCATGATTTCAGAATTTATTTGGTTGCGATGATATAATATAGACTGTTTGTTTTAGAGCAAAGCCACATTGGGCTATCAGCTGTGTCCACCGCAGGAAACTGAGCCACGGATTTTAGCGCTGTAAGTCCGTCAAATTACCGCTCTCCCACCGGGGGACAATATAATATAGAGTGAGCAAACATGTTACCCTACATAAGACAACAAAACCCACGCCATGACTTACTGAGAATTACAGTTTTGAGCTGTGTCAAGTGTTATCAGCCCATCTAGGCCTATGTAAAAGTATGCCAACCAGTGAGCTTTGTATGTATAGCTTTAGGCATGAACGCGTCTCGATATATATATATATATATACAAGGTTTTGGGTTCCTTTTCATAAATAAATAAATAATGCTTTAGCACTAATTTCTATTTGAATAATTAGATGTTCGAGTTACTTTTCAATGTGGATGGAAACAAAATTAACATTAATATAAAACTAGCCGGTGTAATCCTTTCAATCATCGACTTGGTTGACAAGAGCAGACATAGCTTGAAACTGTAGTCATCAGCTGATTCAACATAAACAGAATCTGCTAAACTTGTGAAGTGTGATGACTTATGTAGTAGTATGGTGTGTAATAAAATCACTTACTTGTTAGACAAAAGAAGCTAATGGAAAACAACCCGTAGAATCGGTCTAACTGGACAGCAAATTTGGTTTAAAAAATGAATAGTGCATGTGTATAAAAACCAAATATATCAAGCTATTTTTCGCGCCTAAGTGATGATATTATCAAATTTAGTGAATCTGATTACACTCGAAGCTTCTGTTCTCAACTGGTCAAGAAATAAGCTTTGTATTCCTAAACAAATAAATTCCAGTCAGGGTCTAGATAATAAAACCTATCACTTTGTTATTGATGGGATCCAATAAACTGTATTGGACTCAAGTCTTTAAAATAGTTCAATTGGAAACATGTTCACAATCTGATCTACTGAGCACAGTTTTAAAATGAAATCTTTATACATGATAACCATCTGCGAGAATTATGTAAATAAATAAGTTGTTCAATGAACTGTTTAATAGCGTTACTTAAGCGAGTTTAAAGATGATGTCGAAACAAAATGATATTGTTTCCCTAATGTCTGTATTAAAATGTTAAAAATTGTTGACAAGAAATTATAAAAGGAGAAAACATTTTTCAATTTTTTTTTCCTTTCCGTTGGTTTCTTTGCGGAGTAGAAATATATTCAGCGCCTGTCCGTAGTTTGTTCTCAGAACCGAGTCTTATAGGGGATCCTTCACGCATGGGTTTTGGAATGTGCTACTTTTTCTAACCTTGAGTCTACGACGTCTCTGGCAGTGTTGCTAACGGCTCCGGGCATTTCTGATGATATCTAGGTCTCCTGTGAAACAAAGACGGCCACGACCTCACTGTTTCAATATCATGGTAACACACATCTACACATCATTAAAAAATAAAAATTCTCGGTTGCCAGACGGCGTTCTTGGTCAAGGCCCAGCTAAAAACGACATCCGCTTCAAGGTGATTCACTTTCTCCATGGCTCGTGGCCTTGAGCAGTATGTCGCTGCCCCGTTGTGCACGCGGGCTTTGTTTGACCAGACTGGTCTCAGAAGCTGCCCTTGAAAAAAGCGACCCGTTGAGTTAGTTTCGGTTTCATCATTTACTGCTAGAAATATTTCAGATAGCTAGTTAGTAGATAAATCAGAATTAATTACTGATAATAGAATTTTTAAAAGTTACCGTATTTTTCGGTGTATAAGACGCACCTTTTTACCCCAAAATTTGATGTCAAAATCTGCTTGCGTCCTATACACCGAAGGTATGAATAATATATATAAGATATACACAAACCATGTGTAAATATATTGAAATAGGCATGCATAGTTTAGTTCAATTGAATGTGTTGTTTATAACAATAGTAGTTTTTTTCTTTTAAAAACATAACTATTTATAATGCTCCCTAAATAATAAAAAAAATAAATTACAGTGAACGCTATAAAGATTTTGTAGGTTTTGAACCAAACTAAATAACAGTAAACCTTTTTTTGATTTACGGTATTTTCTTATTT